CATCCATGAATCCATCACCGTGAAGACATCCGGGAACCCATCGCCATGGAGACATCCATGAATCCATCACCGTGAAGACATCCGGGAAGCCATCGCCATGGAGACATCCATGAATCCATCACCGTGAAGACATCCGGGAAGCCATCGCCATAGAGACATCCATGAATCCATCACCGTGAAGACATCCAGGAAGCCATCGCTGTGCAGACATTCATGAATCCATCACCGTGAAGACATCCGGGAACCCATCGCCGTGGAGACATCCATGAATCCATCACCATGAAGACATCCGGGAACCCATCGCCATGGAGACATCCATGAATCCATCACCGTGAAGACATCCAGGAAGCCATCGCTGTGCAGACATCCATGAAGCAATCACATCCATCTGCGAAGCAGGGACCGAGGGCGATCGTTCTCGCGGTGCCATCCACCGTGTAGGTGGCAGTGCACCGGTGTACCTTCTATGTGCAAGCTATAGCATGCTCAGCCATCATCCTCTGCAATCTAAGCAAGCTATGCTAGGCGCCGGCTTATCCTCACGATTGGCGGGTGCCGCGTGTGGCTCGGGCGTGCGGATGCTGTGTGAGAGGCTGCATGCGTTTACAACGTGACGGAGGGCTAGCTCCTCGCGACGACGTGGCAACGGCATTGGATAATCGAATAGAAATTGTCGAGGAGCCCTTCAACGAATGACGATGAGTGATATTCATTCTTAGCCAAGAATCGATAAACGCCGTTTGCGAATACAATATTGGCGAGTAGAGTTATATTGGACGCAGTTTCAGTATTGTAAACGCAGGGAGCTTATTTCAAGCTCGTTCTCTCTGAGCCGTGATGCCACGATTGTATTCCTGATCGTGATCATAACTGCTGCGATTTCGCTTCCTCGCATATCCGGTTTAGAGCGGAGACCGACCGAGAAACTAATCGTTAGTTTCTCAAAGTTTGATGCGTAATATTTAGATGAAGTGATGGGTTTGTATACGGTAACACTATTCAGCTGCGTCGGAAATTCCTTGTGTGCAGGTGCTACGTGTGAATTTGCCGAAACAATCGCGAAGTGACGTTCGGGATCAGCCGGAAAGCGATTTTTGTAATGTTTACTTTTGACACTAGTTTTATCTGTGGTTGCGTGAATAGAAGTGCGCTGGATTAATCAATTGAGTATCCACACGTTGTGTATAATCAGGTTATGTCTGCGTCATGTCGACGGGTTTCACAAGTGATGAAGCCTTCATTGTTTATAAGAAATCGGGGGGCTTTATATGCTGTGCTAAGTCTGTGCATCGACCTCTGTGCTTGTATTCGTACGTATGCTGTGCAGGCATGTGTGTCCTGCTGAATGTACGTTTCAAACCTTCCGTCGCTTGTTCATTTGTTCGAAGTTATATGTGCCTGGCGAAATATCTATCCGTTTTTGTGATCTTTACAAAATACTATGCATATTGCTGAGCCGTGTTTAGATTGTCATTTGCATTTTCTTCCTCATGCATTTTCTTCCTCATTTTCATCTTATGGAGTGAGGAGTTATGTAATGGTATCGTCATTGTCGTTGGCGTTAGCGGTCATTGGTTGCGTGGGTCCATTGGACCTACTATGTACGTTGTTCCTACTTGGTATATTAGACCACAGTAACGCGACGTCCCCAGTTCGAACGTAAAGGTCAAGGGTCAGCGTTCCGGTGGAATGAAACGGTAGATTTTTAAGACACAGTAGGCGGACGCAATGGAAACCATTTTTTTCTAGTAGAACCCCTATTGTTTTTATTAATTAATCATGAAGCTTCTATATTTTAAAATCGAAGGAATGCAAATGGTTAACCTATATATTGTTATCGTGATTTCGTTTAATTTGAGAGTCATGTAAATACGGAATAGTACACAAAAGGAACCCGCTGGCGTTATCCATACTGGTGGACCTTTGCTCATTTAGTAGTAACCGGAAAAATTTGTCAACGTGTTCCCGGTCTATGTTTATGCGAAAGGAGTGGCTACGGTTTTAAAATCAAAACGGTTTTAAATCCTAAAAAATGAAAGGTCAGACGTAAATATTTAAATGTAACCTGAAATTTGCGTATATAATGGACAGTGATTAAATTCTCGCCCTAATCAACGCTGTGGGTGTATTTTTTGGCATGCTCGTGGTGTCATCTAGACTCCTTGCGAAATCCGCTGTATGCTTGTGGAATATACATCTCTGTTTAGATGACTGAGACCAAGTTGTTGATAATTCCCCTTATAGAGTCATTGCAATAGCATGGATATTATAAATAGAGTTAACTGCTATGCAAGTGAACACATCTGAGAATCCTCTAATAGGTAATGAAATTGTAGTAAAGTTAATGCGAGCAGACAAATCTAGTCAGTAATTGTTTATTGTTCTTATTCGATAGAAAGTCGCTCTCGCATAAATGAGTAAAACTGGCGGACAGCATATATCTACATTTTTATTATTTAACGAATTATATTAACAGTAAATGCTGGCACGTGTTTGTGTGTGTGTGTGCGCGCGTGCGTGCGTGCGTGCGTGCGTACGCGCGTGCGTGCGTGCGTACGTGCGTGCGTGTGCGTGTGTGTGTGTTTGTATGCGTGCGTGCGTGCGTGTACTTTTTCATATGTTTGTAAAATACAGTATTAATTTTAGGCTCCGTGTGTAGTGTCGTCGGGTGTTGTGGACAAATCATTGTGACGTGTACATACAGGTTTGCCGCGCGCGAGCACATTATATTATTGTACAGTAAAATTTTAGTCTACTTGTTAAAAACGGCGACGGTGGCTTCGCGCGTAGATCACACAGTAACTAGCAGGTGCTTCGATTCGCTTTGATATCGTGTGGTTGTACATTTTCTCCGATACGCACTGTCGCGAGTTCAATCGTGTATAAGTGTCAGATTCCGCCGTGCATTGTAGCGAAAGGGTTAGCGCGTCTAGTCGGCAGTTGCGCTGCAATACGTCTGCGAAAAAAGAGAACGCCATAGAGCGAGGGTTCGGAATGAAGAACTGCGATTGCTCCCGCTAGGGTGCGCATGCGCTACACGGGAACGTGGTAAGCAGCGAAAGAGCCAGAGATGATGAAATCGAATAGAAGAGATATAAACAAAAGTTTCATTGCCTCTCGTTTGAGCGGCAGCGCACCTGCGGTTAGCGAAAGTGTAGAAATAAAATGGCACGCATGATGTATAAAAATTATTACGTTTACTGTGTGTGCTATTAAGGGATGATTTGCTTGCGGAGAGCCCTCCTGTAAAAACCGCTCTAGTCGGTGTACCGTCGCTACAAACTGCTTTACGCGACGCCGTGACATTTGGAATGTTAGATTCGCAGGTGATAAGAATTCGTCGGTGTGTGTGTGTGTGTGTACAGTACGTATAATTGCAGCCCGTAATTAGAGTTTTACACTTAGCGAGTATAATCGGTACTTTTTATCGTGTGGGTTTCCAGCTAATTCGCGAAGCTTTTCTGTATTTGTTACGGTTGAGTTGATTTATATACGACATAGAAAATTCCCCTTCTGGTTGGTCGGTTGCGAAATGCAATTAATGCTGTATTCAATGTGCAATTTCGTGTCGGCGAGTCTAGCCCTCTTTTCCAGTGATCGCGCGCGTATTTTCCAGAAAAACACGTTAGCTCAAGAAATATATCGAGAAATTAGTTAAGTCAGCGTTGGATGACGAGAGAAAGGTACAGGAAAACAACTCGCGGACTATGATTAGATTAGTTGCTCGTTAAATTTTGAATGGATATAAGTGCAGTTTCGTTTAGCGTAATGCGATTCGATTACATAGTACTGTTTGCTGAGAAAATACTGGCAACGACATGATAAGGAGCGCGTGTTGTGAGGGGGAAAATTCGCATGTTAACGTGCACGATCCGTGCTGAAGTGTGTATAATCTAAAGACGCGCTCGTCACCGTGGTTACTGCGGGTGTGCTTCACCAAAGACGCAACCAACGTGGTTGTGAAGATAATTGTATAAAATTGTATCTCTATTAATTTAAATCGATGTCAGGAAACATGCCAGTATTGATCAGAGCTAGCTCCCAATAACAGGGAATTGTTGTGTTAATGCCATGCATACAAAATACAATTAAAATTTGTTATTCATACTCTTATTTGTTGTTCGTGTAGATTTGTTCTTGTGGACTTTACAGTGGCTAAACAGTTACGCGAAACAGTTGCGCGTTTTCCTAAATGTCTCGCGTTCTATAGTTATATACTATCAGGAGCTAATATTGACAAATTGTCTTTGTCATTATTAGCTCCTGATACTATGTCACATAATTAAAGGGAACGATATGTTTGCGAAGGCCCCACATGACGACAATGATCGACAAAATATTCAGCATTCTCATTTTCAGACAACATTTCAAAGTTTGTATACTCACGCTCATGCATACGCGCGTTAAATTAGTCTTAAAGGAAATTAGAATAGGGCATTGAATTTTCATAAAATCTGACAAATCATTTATGGCAACTAGAAAAGAGCGGAAGATACAATACAGTAACATAATATTATTATGACACTCCTGTAGTATGAATATATATGTAAGAGCCTGCGAGGGAGCGAAGCGGCCGAGGGGGAGCTGGGAGAAGGGTATCCTCCGTCCAACGGTAGGAACTTTTCGTATTATTGATCTCTAAAAGGTTCATTTTCGCGCATTTTAATTGAAAGTATAAACTATTGTTTGTATCGTTTACATGCCATTCAAAACTTTCCATTTCAAATAATGTTTTTTGGCTTCTTCGTGTATGTGCGATATTGCGAATGCGCTAAAACAGTAACGTAGCCAGATTGTGTACTGACTGGTTTATGCAGCGAAGACCTTACATGCTAGGTCTGCTTCCTATTTCATAAGTGAGGTCTACTGATGGAATATTATCATAGAAATCTATGCTGGTATAACCCCTCTTCATTTTAAATTCATAATTTTGGCAAAATGTTATTCTTCTCGGGAGATATTGTGCATGCGCGACAACCGTTTCAGACGTGCAGTACAGCCTAAATAAAAGCACGTAATATAGCTTGCTGCGGAAGAGAGGGGGTGGGAGACTGAGGGAAGGTGGCAGGGAAGACAGCCGAGGGGCGGTGGAAGAAGAAGGAGGCTGGGCGTGCGACAAGTAGACGGTGTAAAGGGTGACAAGGGGAAGGGCGGGCATAGATGAAGTAGTAGGTTTGCACCTTATTGGCTAGGGCGCTCTCCTAATTATACATACAGGTCTACTGATCAGAATTTATTACAGAAACCTGAGACGTAGTAAAGGGAAACAAGGGGAAGGGCGGGCGGGGATGAAGTAGTGGTTTTGCACCTTATTAGGTTGGGCGCTCTCCTAATTATACACACAGGTCTACTGATAAGAATTTATTACAGAAACCTATGTTGAGATACGCCCTGACCATATTAAATGCATGTTTAGCACAAAATATAACTCCTTTGGTGAGATATTGCGCATGTGCTAAAACAGTAACGTAGCCAGATTGTGCACTTACTGGTTTATGCAGCGGAGATCTTACATGCAAGGTCTGCTTCCTATTTCATAAGTGAGGTCTACTGATGGAATTTTATCATATAAATCTATGCTAGGATAACCCCTCTT